GAAGCAAAATGGTTGACGTCGCGGTGGTGAGCCTCGTCGGCGCGGATAACCGTGATGACATCCTTCAGCCTAGCGTCCTTGGGCAGCCTCCAGTAGTCGATGGCGATGGCAGGAGCTGGGACGTTCTCGATCTTGCCCTCGTCGATGTCCTTCAAGTACTCGGTGTATGAATGGATGGCTTCCTCTTCCAAATACCCAACAACTCTATGAGCCAATTTGGGGGACATCAAGTAGAGAACAAAGAAGGCGTTGAAAAACACTCCCTGCACTGTGATCACAAGCATCCGCTCATACCACTTGGGCTGCACGAGCTCAATCATGGTCATTAGATGCATCCTCTCGTTCTCTGCTTCTTCAAGCAGGGCCTTGATCCACCCCCCACTGTGCTGAAACCTCCTCAGTGACTTTAGATGCAGCAGCATGCCCCCGACCATGCCCGGGACTGCTGCTACTGTCTCGAGCATCACTGCTCGACAGCCGTAGCGCCTCTGCACAACATGAACACTGACATGAATTCTAGTCGACATAAACAGAGACTCGCACATTTAGAGGGTTCTCAATAATGATTGAACCACTCAGAATTCATTGTTCCAATTCAAAGGATTTGAAGGAAGAACAAACAGATCAAATTACCCACCTGGAAGAAGATATCAGTTGGGATTCGAAGAAGCTTTACAACGCGGTAAGCGACTTTGTCCAGAAAAGTTTTTGGCTCATGGTGCTTTCCAAGATCTATGGACACATCCGCTCTGTAAGTCTCCCATGGCTGCAAATACAGCAATGGTTTCCTCAGAACCGCAAGATCATTGAAGAAAAAACACTAAATAAGAGGGATCTAATCAAAACATTGGAATATAAAACGCATTTTAACCACATCTTCCAGAGCTAAATAAGGAAATCTTCGAAGAACTTTAAATTACCCAAGAAAAGGACACACAAGTTAAGGCCAAAAGCAAGCAGGCATTTAATCAAACAGTTAACGGGCAAGAGTACAACGACCAATCCCGAAGCCCAATCGAAAAGGACAAAAATGATGAATATCAAGTTCATACCATAAAGCAATTCCAAGGCCATTCAGACCCATCTTCCCTAGTAATCTTCGGCCTATAAATCCCCCAATAGCTGGAAACAAGCGCATTATCCTTCTCTTTTTCCTTCTCCTGATTCTCAACGTCCTTATTCCCCTGTTCTAACTTCACCTTCCCCTGTTCCTCTGCCACCGCCGTGGACGAGCTCATCAACCTCCGCCACTGGAATCCCCCATCCGCCAACGGCTGGTACCTCGTCGACGGCGACGCCGCCGCCGCGAAAGTGACCTTCATACCACCGCCACTGCCACCGGCTATCGAGCCAAAGCTCCGGCTATTAACGAGCCCCCTCACAAAACTCCTAATCACAATCCGATTCATTGCTAGAACTCAAACAATAGATTTCCTTCACGTCGATTCTCCTCCGATTGGCCATGAAGCAATGACCAGTCCGTTTATAAGTAATGGTTTTGTCTAGAAGAAATAACCGACAAGAGGCGTAATCGTGTGCTTCGCGGTTACAGTGCGACGGTTGATTAGGTTGGTAACAGTAGCTTTACTTGGCGCTCAAGAAATCTTCGACGCCTCTCGTAAAGCGTCAAGATCCGGAAGGTTCCAGGAACTCCAGATTCTTGGGGAGAAAGAAAGAATGAATATATAATGGTCCGCGAATCAGGGGATTACAACCAGACCCTTTTGAATTAGGTAATTTTGTAATTATAAAATCTCTGGCCGGGCGGCTATTAAGGGAAATGATTGTGTGCTTTTTAGTCAATGTGTTTCATGATTTTAGGTCAATGGTCAACCGCCATCTTTTGTTATTGACCGTCTGATCATTTTGTTAATTTTTGGCTTGTGGGACCTATTCGGATATATCAGTGGCGACCCGCGCCGGACGGAATTTATTTTTATTATTATCGGCCCAAAGTTGGGATCTGTTGTGAATCGTTATTTGGTTGCCTTGTTTGACCGGGATTTATTAAAAGACGGTTTTACCCTTGATTTATTCGCCGATTCTTTCCATTCCCATAATATATAAAAGAAATTCGCCCATTTTTTCAAAAGTTTTTGTTTTGATTTATTATTATTTTGCTAAATTAATAAAAATATTCATAAAATTTATATTTGTTTCGAAAGTATGACTTTAAAACAAAATCAATAATCCCATTTATATTCCTTTTTCATTGTCACGCTTGTTTATTGTAATGTTAGAATAATATTAGTGTAAAATATATTACTCCCTAAGATTTGAGGGATGAAAACGAGCCAAATATTTTATAAATAAAAAATAGAAACGGCACAGTGATACACATGGTCGAGCTGGAAGCAACAAGACCATTGATTTGAGCATAGTCATATACATAGCCAACCACTTTGAGAATTTCCTTTATTAATATAATTATTCACGAGTAAAGACAAGGTTTTGTTCGAAGCTCTTACACACACCTCGTGATTCCAACTATCTAGGGTTTCGTGTTCTTCAATGTTCTTGGAGTGAGATTTGAATAGAGAATCGTCCATTTCGAATAAATCACCAATCATATCATAAAGGTCAATGGTTCGATTCCACCGTATAATTATTAAACTAAAAAATTGAAAACCATATTTTTTAAACCAATTAAAAATTTTGTATATGGATACAATAATTATTTTATTTCTAAACTCCTAAAATTGGTACTTAGAAAAATACCATAAATAAGATATCAATTCTCAATTTAAATAATTTATTTAAAAGAATATATATTTGTTTGAGACTAATTGAATTTTATAAAATTAATGAATTTGATATAGAATGACTAGTTGTCAACATGGAATTGGTCCATATTTGACCAGAAAAATTCAAATGGAACTCTTTTTTATTTTCTTTAATATAAAAAGTCAAAATTAATCCATAACATACTCTAAATTAATCTTTTATATATTTTTAATAAACATCAGATATTAAATTTGAATTTTCAACTACGGTTCAATTATGTTAACGCATATAAAAATATATTTAAGTCTATAATTTTAAACCAAATGGAAGCACGATTATATTAAATGTGTAAATTAATTATTTTTCTAGTAGATTATAAATTTTGTATAAAATTTAATAAAAATAGTAATCGTTCACGAATCAATATCTAAATTTTATCATAAACTATATTATTGAAATATATACATATACGTTAATTTTAAAAAATATATTATTATTATTTATTATTGTTAATTTAAGATAGAATGGTATGTTCGTGACTTATAATATAAATTTGGATCATTGTTCGTCTTCTGTCATTGTTACGTCGTTCTAAATCTTAATTTTAATTTGAAAATTTAAAAGATTTATACTCTGAATATTAGTATCTATAAATTTATTTGTTTTATTCAGATTTTAAAAAATAAATAGCTATTATTAAAAATTTATTAAACAGGAAATGAATTTTATTGGGTCTTTGCCCGGAGTCATGTGGGCTTGGGCCTCTAAAACACGAGGACTTTTTGAAAGGTGTAAGGTTATATTACCATAATACCCTTGAACCATGAAATTAATTTCAATTATACCATTCGACTTTGGAACTCAAAATAATCTGTGAATCCCTTTAAACTTTCATTATTTCTCAATTTTCATCGTTTAAAAATAACACTTAAAAATGCAAAATCAAAATTAAAGTATTTTAAATGATTAAATAGATATAATTATTATTTTTGTTAATTTTTTTACTATTATTATTATTTTTTATTTCCAACTATAATGGTTCGTGGAAATAGTTGCCCCATTCAAACCAACTTCCCGTGAAAAACTTTGTCGTCTTCGCTCCTAAACGTAAGCTAGTTTTATTATTAGCGTTATTTCCAATTAAATGAAAAAGAAATATATAAAAAATAAAATAAAAATAGGGCTGTACGTTGAAGTTGACCTACACTCCATTTTTAAATTTGAATTTGAATTCTTGATTCGAGCCATCCAAATAAAGTTCATGATCCAACTCAATTAATTCCGCTCATTTAATTTAAATTTTGACTTTACCATCATACATATTCCACTAATAATAAAATATTTAGAAATTATAATGTTATAATTTACTTTAGTAACAAAAGTAAAATATTTTTAATATTTATAATAATCTTAAAAGTAAGGTTTGAATTGTAATTTTGTTTTGGAGTTGATTGGGTTGACCTGACAAAGAGTGAATTCGTGAATGGACCAAAGTTTTTTATTTTAAAAAAATTTAACCCCCTTCTTGCTAAAATACAAAAATGAAAAAAAAAAATGGTTGAAAAATTAAATTATCATAGTAATTAAAGAGATAGAATTAAATTAGAGGGAAATAAAAAGGGTTTAATAAAGAAAAAAAAGGAAATAAAATAATAGTGATTGACGGAGTCAAAGCCGGAAAGCCCAATAATCGACAAAATTCATAGACCCCAAAAGAAATTGAATTTTCGTAGCGAAGACTTTTTGGTACAGACAAAATAATACCAACAAATCGAGGTTTCCATATGGAACCACAATGGCTGACTTTTTCCATCTTTGTGGACCCCACCCCTAAATCGTGAAATACACGCGCCTACCCAAACAAAATATTTCTTAAATTCCAACTTTACCCTTCTCCTTTTTTGGGTTAAATTTTTAAGCTCCTCGAAATTTGAATTTTTTAGTCAAAGTCAACCCAACTTGAACTTTTGTGTGTGGGGTAAAAAAATTTCATTTGTTCTACTTTAACAATGCTTTAATGATGCAAAAATTAAACAAACACCAGATGGTTTGAACTTATTCAAAATTTCGAGTTAGTTAAAAAATTAAATCAATCGAGTATAGAAGACTTAATCCAACTCAGAGAACTCGGAGATGGGTTGGACGGATCAGTTCTCCATTTAGATAATGAATTTTAGAGACTACAAATTTGGAAAAGCACAAAAAGTGGAAAAAATGAGAAGAAAAGAAAAAGGAGCACTAAAAATCAAAGTCAACAAGGGGAAAGATGTGCCCCTCTTGGTAGTATTAGCCTCCATTTCCACTTCCCTTTTTTGCGATTTCTTTCTCTTCCCACCGCGTGGACTTGCTCCAACTTAATTAGAACGGTTACACAAAACTCCATCCATTCCTTCTTCGTTACAACCTCCTTTTTTTGGTCATTTTCTTCCCAATACATTGATTCCAGTACAGATTAATCAATAATTCAGGTTCTGGGTTGTTGTCTTTTCTCGCTTTTTTTTTCGAATTTCGACGACTTCTGGATCGCTAACCCGGGCTCTCGGCTGCTCTTTTGGTATGTTCTTTATTGTTTTTGTAATTCCCTTGACTTTTTGGTGTTGTAGGGTTGTTTTTAATCCTGGGTGTTTGGCGTTTGGTTGATCGGACTTGTTTTTCTGAACTTGCAGTTTGTTGGAGTCTGTAATTTTCCCCTCTTCTTCTGGGGGTTTTGTTCTTCATTTTGGGAGAAATTTAGGAGGCTCTCTTCTGCTATTAAGGTGGATGATTGTTGAACGGGGAAACAAAGTGAAGTGGGAAGAATAAATTGTATGGATAACTTATGCTGCTTCAATTCTGTTTATTCTCAGGTAGTGATATCTTCTCCTTTGGCTGTTTTTATGTTGAATTCATAATATCGTACTGTTGACTTGTGATGAACTCTGTGTGGAGGTTGTTTATGAGGTTCGGATGAGTTGTATGATCCATGTTTGAGTGTGAATTTCTCTTATACCCATCACTCATCAGGCATCGAATGGACCTGTTCTTGATTTGTTTGTTCAAGTGATTTTGTTAACTTTAGAAGTTTGTTTCAACAAGTTAAAGGTAGCTAACTTTGTGGTATGGGATTATGAACTAGTTCAGTCCTTGTGTTTATGGGAGTTTTGATTCTGAATACAGGAAGACGAACGATAGTGATCGTCTTCGCATGACATGATCTAGAAGAATTGTCGACTCCTCTTTGTTCCTTGAAGTTCAAAGTTGGTGTACTTGCTGTTTGTTTGTTCATTTAAGGTTTTGCAATTTGACGAGTAGACCAGAAAATGTTGGAAACTCTCTATTGTTAGTGTGAGATCCTACGTCGGTTGGAGAGGGGACGAAGCATTCCTTGTAAGGTTGTGGAAACCTCTTCCTTACGGACGTGTTTTAAAACCTTGAGGGGAAGTTCATAAGGGAAAGCTCAAAGAGGACAATATCTGTCAGCGGTGAGCTTGAGTTGTTACAAATGGTATTAGAGCTAGTCACCGAGCGGTGTGCTAGCGAGGACACTAGGCTCCCAAGGGGGTGGATTGTGAGATCTCACATCGGTTGGAGAGGGGAACGGAGCATTCCTTATAAGAGTGTGGAAACCTCTTCCTAGTAGACGCGTTTTAAAACCTTGAGGGGAAGTCCAAAGAGGGCAATATCTGCTATTAGTGGGTTTGGGCTGTTACAGTTAGTTTCTCGATATTTGTCTATATCACGACAGATTGTTCTCAATGATGATATCTGCAGTCTGAAATCCAACGTCTTTGGATTTGTCTTTATAATGAACAAAACCTGAAGATTTTTGTAGCTTTTGATGGAGTAGTGCTATTATTTCAATCATGCACGTCTTCTTAATACGATCAATGGTTTTTGACATGGACTCATTAGCTTGTTTCGTTCTCTTTTGAGGCACTTAATCTTGAGCGTTTCCTTGAAATGAACTTTTGTTTTTTAGGCACATTCATCTCGATATTACTGATTATGAACTACGAAAGTTTTATTTTGAACTGTGATGTCCCCTTGTCTTTAGTTTGTAGGAGGTCGTTCGCAGGGTAGCTCTGGAAAGGGCAGGGGAAACCAATGCCCTGTCAGGTATGGCTTTAGCTTAGTAAAAGGCAAAGCAAACCATCCCATGGAAGACTATCATGTTGCTAAATTTATAACAGTACATGGCCATGAGCTAGGCCTTTTCGCCATATATGATGGTCATTTAGGAGACAGTGTACCAGCCTATCTTCAGAAGCATCTGTTTCCTAATATACTGAATGATGTAAGTTCTTCACTAGTTTCATTAAGATTGCAATATATTATCAAACTCATCTGGGAATCACATTAATCCGTTCACGAATGCTAGTTAGGAAGGCGTTTACTGACATCTTGGCATGATATCTTGCATTGCTTCAGGAGGAATTCTGGTCGAATCCCCGTAGCTCGATCTTTAAGGCTTACGAGACGACAGACCAAGCGATACTTTCACACAGTCCTGACTTGGGAAGAGGTGGATCCACCGCCGTCACTGCAATTTTGATAAACGGTCAGAAATTATGGGTGGCTAATGTTGGAGATTCACGAGCAGTCCTTTCGAGAAAAGGGCAGGAAGAGCAAATGTCGGTTGATCACGAGCCAAACACCGAGCGTGGAAGTATTGAGGACAGAGGTGGATTCGTCTCTAACATGCCAGGTCTGGTAATGCATTGATGTATCCTCATGAATGCAAGCTTTTTTGGGTCATCTACTCAGAAAACTGAATATCTAATGAATCTTCGAATGCCAAATGTTGTTAAATATGGCGGCCGTCGAGTAAAGTGGTTCAGAACTCTGAGCTTGCTATGGTTTTCATTGTTCAACTTCATAATAATGTCTGATTATTTCATGTCATTTTAGGAGACGTTGCAAGAGTGAACGGGCAGCTAGCAGTTTCTAGAGCATTTGGCGACAAGAACCTCAAGACACACTTACGATCTGATCCCGACATAAAGAATGCTGATATCGACTCCGACACCGAGCTTCTTATCTTAGCAAGTGATGGTCTATGGAAGGTGATTGACTGCTTCCCATTAAATTGCAACAAGTATCCATTTTGAATGCATTTCTCAAACTTCTTATGGAAAATTCAGGTGATGACGAATCAAGAAGCGGTGGATATAGCAAGAAGAACGAAGGATCCGCAGCGAGCAGCAAAACAATTAGCAGCAGAAGCGTTGAAACGGGAAAGCAAAGACGACATCTCGATCATCGTAGTATGTTTCAAAGGCTAAAACTTATGTTACCATCACTTAGTTCATGGCATTCAACTCTCTATTATGTTTAATCCCTTCCCAGAACGAAGAATTGTGCAAAAAAAAGAAAGAAAAAGGCATCTCTGTGGTAGAATATGATGTTGTTGTTCTAAATTTGGTGCAGCTTGATCCTTTTACATGATTTCTTTTACATGAATGAACTTATGAAACAGTTTGGAGGTCTGGGTTTGGCCTTTGGGTCTCCATGGAACACCTGCCTGACATGTATGCAACTGTTCTAATAGATTCATAAGCTTTTTTGGTTGATGTATTCATATCCTTCAAAATATATCATTTTTATGGTTAAAACAATTGTATCATTTTTATGGTTAAAACAATTGTACTTTGATGCCCTCGTTGTTACGAGACTCTATGAGATCCCACATCGGTTGGAGAAGAGAAGGAAACATTCCTTATAAAAGTGTAGAAACCTTTCTCTAACAGACGCGTTTTAAAGCTGTGAGGCTGACGGCAATACGTAACGAGTTAAAGTGGACAATATTTGCTAGTGGTGAACTTGGACCGTTACATGCTCCCTCATAAGAGGGCGTGTATCTTAATGTATCGGGAGAATTTGTCCATTTTAGCTATTATAATTGCGTATTCTATTGTCTCGTTTCTTCTTTTATTCTAGTTATTACAGGCCATTTGAAGCGTTCGGTGAAAAAACTGAGTTACGGTTAGTACTGTAAGAATGCTCAAATTTGATGATTTTGTGAGAGACGATATTCGTTTTTTATGGGGTACTATTGAACTGGGTTAGACAACACATTACATAACTAACCTGACCGAATTTCGTTCTCTTAGTTTGTGTAAACAACAAAATGAAGTTTTTGTTTTCGGGTTATTTTTTCCAAAACAAAAGTATTATTTGTAAAAAAAAAAAAAAAAAAAAAAAAAAAAAAAAAAAAAAAAAAAAAAAAAAAAAAAAAAAAA